ATGGATGTGGGAGAAGGGAGTAATGTGTGTTGGGTTGGTGAAGTTTCTTTAGGATGGAGCATCAAAATTGTTTTATGTCTAGCTGGCCCGCAAATGCTAACTTGAACAAGAACACTTTGATTTAAAAAAAAAATGTAATGTCTGCCTTACCTCCTTGATTGTAATGGACATTGCTCTTTCTACATTGCAGTATAGGTGTTATAAACTAATTGGGCATCATAACTAATCTTGTTTTTAATTTTTGTTTTTAAATTGGAGACATTGAATGGAGAATAGGAGGCATACACCTTTTGAGCTAATAACTGCTTGTCTTGGTCTTCATGAATGAGGTGGTGAAAAGTACTCTTTGTTTCTCTTCTATGAATTTTTGAAGGAAGACAAATGGTAAAATGTTGACTGCAATTTGAACCATTAGTCTAAAACTAGGAGACCAGATTGGCTTACCGGGAAATACTTGGTGAACTTAAGCACAAAAAGGGAGCTTACAAAAGTGGAAACTTGGACAGATGTCCAGGGAGGGGTATAAATGTATAGCTCAAGAATGCAGCGGAGTTATCAGGAAGGCGAAAGTGCAATTGGAATTGCAACTCACAAGGGATGTGAAGGATAACAAGAAAGGTTTTTACAGGCATGTTAGCAAGAAGAAGGTGATCAGAGAGCGTGTGGGGCCCCTACTGGATGAGGGCAGTAACCTAGTGACAGATGACATGGGGAAAGCTCAAGTACTTAATGCTTTCCTTGCCTCTGTCTTCATGGACAAGGTCCGATCCCAGACTAATGCGCTATGGGACGAAGGTAGGCAGCCCTTGGTGGGGAAAGAACAAGTTAGGAACTATTTAGAAAAGCTAAAGGTACATAAATCTATGGGTCCGGACTTAATACATCCAAGGATACTGAGGGGGTTGGTAAATGTCATTGAGGAACCTTTGGCCATTATCTTTGAAAAGTGGAGTTTGGGAGAGATCCCGAATGATTGGAAAAAGGCAATGTGTCGTGCCCATCTTTAAGAAAGGGAAGAAGGACGATCCAGAGAACCTTAGGCTAGTCAGTCTTACCTCAGTCCCTGGAAAAATTATGGAGGGATCCTCAACTAATCCATTTTGAAGCACTTGGAAGAGGAGAAAGTGATCAAGAATTGTCAGCATGGATTCACAAAGGGCAAGTAGTGCCTGACCATCTGATTAGCTTCTATAATGAGGTAACTGGCTCTGTGGATATGGGGAAGTCAGTGGATGTGATATACCTTGACTTTAGCAAAGCTTTTGATACGATCTCCCACAATGTTCTTGCCAGCAAGTTAAGGGAATATGGATTGGATAAATGGACGGTAAGATGGATAGAAAGCTGGCTGGAAGATCGGGCCCAGTAGCTAGTGATCAACAACTCGATGTCAGGATGGCAGTCGGTTTCTAGCAGAGTGCCCCAAGGTTTGGTTCTAGTACTGGTTTTGTTCAACATCTTTATTAATGACCTGGATGAGGGAATGGACTGCACCCTCAGCAAGGTTGAGGATGACACTAAACTGGGGGAGAAGTAGATATGCTGGAGGGCAGGGATAGAGTCCAGAGTGACTTAGACAAATTGGAGGATTGGGCCACAAGAAATCTGATGAGGTTCCACAAGGACAAGTGTAGAGTTCCCTTGGGACAGAAGAATCCCAAGCATTGTTACAGGCTGGGGACCAATTGGTTAAGTAGCAGTTCTGTACAAAAGTACCTAGGGATTACAGTGGATGAGAAGCTGGACATGAGTCAACAGTGTGCCCTTGTAGCCAAGAAGGCTAATGACATATTAGGTTGCATTAAGAGGAGCATTGCCAGTCGATCCAGAGATTTGATAATTCCTCTTTACTTGGCTCTGGTGAGGCCACATCTGGAATATTGTGTCCCGTTCTGGGCCCCCCACTACAAAAAGGATGTGGATGCATTGGAGAGGGTCCAGTGGAGGGCAACCCAAATGATTAGGGGGCTGGAGATTATGACCTACAAGGAGAGGCAGAGGGAGTTGGGTCTGTTTAGTCTGCAGAAAAGAGTGAGGGGGGATTTGATAGCAGCCTTCAACTTCGTGAAGGGAGGTTCTGAAGAGGCTGGAGAAAGGCTGTTCACAGTACAGTAGTGATGGATGGCAGAACAAGGAGCAATAGTCTCAAGTTGTGGTGGGAGAGGTCCAGGTTGGATATTAGGAAAAACTATTTCCCTAGGAGGGTGGTGAAGCACTGGAATGGGTTACCTAGGGAAGAGGTGGAGTCTCCATTCCTAGAGGTGTTTAAGTCTGGGCTTGACAAAGCCCTGGCTGGGTTGATTTAATTAGGATTTGTCCTGCGTTGGGCAGGGGGCTAGATTTGATGGCCTTCTGAAGTCTCTTCCAGCTGTATGGTTCTATGATTCTATGAACTGTTGTTTCATGAATTCAAAATGTACCTGGTTTTGAGTGGCTCATAGTCAGGATAACTGTCAAGCTAAGGTGAAATGGTTTTCTTCTATACATTAAAACCACCAATATATATGTGTGTGGGGGGGGGGAGGGGGGAGTTAGGAATTTACATTAGAAATGGGTAAGAATTGATAAGCATACAAATTCAAAATGAGTTAAGTTGCCAAATTATCAACCCTACATATTTAGGTCCTATTTATCTCTGCAATACAGACAGTAGCAAACTAGTAATTTAAATCACTATTATACATGATTTAAATTATTGGTTTTAATCACATTTTGCATTTGTATTTTTAGTTACTTTCAGAAAGAGAGGCTGATTCTTGTTAATAACATAATGTGTATATTTGGAACATAAACATACACTTTAGCAAAAAAGAAGCATTGAAGTTAGTGTAATCAGGTGGGTTCACTCTGTGCATATTTCTTATGTAGCTTAACTTCTGTTTATTCAGATTCTTAATTTTTCCATTTTTATTGTATTTCAGAATTGCATCACTAATCATGTTTTATGTATAGATGAAAATTTTTCACTTGAGATTTGTATGAAGGATGAACATTCAATTAAATGTGCACACATTTTAATTTAATTAAGGCTATATTATGTGTGCTGATATGTAACAGGTTTATCAAAACATGTTTTGCATTTAAAACTAACTGATCTGTTAATTTAGAAAAACTGTTTAGCGGTAGTTAGCAATAGAGATGTCAATGTGTAATTGAGTAAACGATTGATAGGATTAACCAGTAAGGCCAGACTTATCAACTCCATGCAGAAGGTTGGAGCCAGTGCTTTTAAGCCGTCTCCCCAAGAGCACCAGATCCTATGGAGCCACCTGCCTTACTTTCCCACGCTGCTGCCTCTTATAGAGAAGCAGTAGCATGGAGGGCAAGGAGGCATGAGAACCAGAACACGTGGGAAAGCTGGCTCTCCACGAGAGCTGACTCTGCGGAGCTGCCTCCTCCACCACCACCACCACCACCACCTTGCTGCTGCTTCTATCTGAGACACCTAGTTTTTATTCATGGCTTGAAAGAGAGAAACAAGCCTTCCTGCTTTTTCAGATCTCTTGGTTTCTAAATTTTGATGGAACTAGTTATTGAACTGAACTAGTTCAGTAAACAGAAAAGATTATTTTTTAATGCACCTGTAGAAGAGGTTACTGCTTTAAAAAACTGATTCCAGATGCGTAACCAGTGACTACCACTAGTTCAGTGGGTGACTTTCTTTGAAACTGGTTAGCAAACCTATACTGCTTAATATTATATTTTGCTTTTAATTTAAATGTAGACTTTAGCAAAAGTTGTCAGTTTCATATTGAATTTTAAAAAGATTTCTTTTTTAGAAATAAACCTGTTTTTTAAAAATTAAAAATGATAGTGAAAAAATTTCCAAACTCTGAGAATCTGAAAGATCTTCCAGTGATGACAGTCCCATCCTTTAACTGAATTGTGTATACATACATTTACATCAAAGGTGGGCAATACCTTTTGTGGGGTGGGGGGAGCACTCCAAGATTTTGGTTAGTGGTCAACAGCGGCATTTTGCGCTCCCTCCATAGATGAGTCTGGGGCAGAGGTTGGATGCAGAAGGGAGCTCAGGGTAAGGGACTGGGATGGAAGAGAGGGTATGAGGTCTGTGAGAGAGTTGAGGTGAAGAAGGGAGTTGTGATCAGGGGCAGGGGAATGGGGTGCAGGGTTGGGGTGAAGGTATGGTTGCAGGAGAGGATTCTGGCCTGACTTTGAGAGAGGGTGTGGGGTTTCAGAGACAGTTGTGACCTGGGGGAGGAGAGGTATGGAGGGTTTGGGTGATGAACTGGGACAGCAGGGGGCGGTGAGGTGAACTGGGGCAGGGAGTTGGGGGGTAGAGGAAGGGACTTGAGTGCCAGGGGCAGGCTACAGTTGAAAGTCCTTTACCTTGGCAGCTCCTAGTCAGCAGCCCTGCCAGACCTGAGGCCATTTGACCAATGAGAGCTGAGAGATTTTGCTGGAGGGTGGAGGCAGCACACAAAGCCTTCCCCTTTCCCCAGTGCTGGGAGCAGCATGGGGGTTCTCTGAAGCATCTGGCTGCTCTGTGCCTGAGGGTCCCAATAAGAACATAAGGAAAAAAATAAAAATATATGAACGGCCATACTGGGTCAGACCATCTAGTCCAGTATCCTGTCTGTTGGCAGTGGCTAATATCGGATTCCCCAAAGGGAGGGGACACAACAGTTAATCCTCATGTGATCCCTCTCCTGTCACCCATTTCTAGACAAAATAGGTGGCCCTTGGGCCAGATCCAGTGAATTGGCAGGCTGGATCTTGCCTGTCCCGATTTAGGTAGACAGGACATTACTGTGGTTCTGTGCATGTGCCAGATGCTTTTTTGTCTCCTTTTTTTCTTTTGTACTCCAAAACTGGCCAGGTGGATATCCCTAGGATATCTGCCTACTGTGTACCTATCCTGGATTTCAAGTAATCTAGACAAGAAACGATATATTAAAATTCTCTATCGTACCAATTTTTTTGTTAGTTTGTAACATCTCTGAAAATATCACTAATGTTAATAATTCTTTTTCTTCTAGGAACTTTATATTGCTGTTGGAATATCTGGAGCAATCCAGCATTTAGCAGGGATGAAAGACAGCAAGGTACAGTCTGGCATGAATTAGGAAAGACTGAAAGAAGTGGAAATGATTTTTTTTTATGGCAAAATAACAGATCGGAGTAAAACTTGTTCCAACATTTGTGGAAAGTGAACATGGAAAGATGATTGGTTTGTTCTGCTGCATTAAAAATATCAATTCTCAAATGATGTTAAATACTGTGAAAAAAGTGTTTCAATAGCAAGCTAACTTTGAAAGAAATGTGTTGCAAAAACAGTCATTCATCAGAAAAGACTTAATTGATTTAATGCATTGTTTAAACACAAATGCCATTCTAGAGTACTGTACTATAGTTCTGCTCACATGTATTTCAGAACTTGACACATTAATTCATGCATAACAATATGCAATTTGAATTATGAACTTACTATTCCATAAAGTAAAAGATGCCTCTGACATTCTTGCATTTATTCATTCAAATGGAAACCTATTATAAAATGGTAATAAAACTTTAAAAGGCTTAACTCGTGAGTAGCTGAAATGTACTGGCTACATATGAAATTGGACTGTGGACTGGACATTGAGAGTTTCCTAATAGATTGGCAGGATCATGTGCAGTAATAACAGCCAAAAATAGAAAAGTTGCTTTTTCTTTGTGTAATTTAAAAAAGTGACCATTTGTATCTCTTCAGGAGACTGTGTTAAAGTAGATTTTTATTAAACAGGCTCAAATGTATTTCTGCTATGGCATCCTGGTGAGGCAGGAACTGTTTATATGTGGGGCAAACATTTCTGTTTTCACCTTTTGATAAATGGGTCTTAACTTTTTTTTCTCCTGAAATTTTAGAAAATTCCCTTCTGGCCACAGCAACAAATTTAGCTTGGTTAACTATCTAGTAATATTCTTAGCATGAGACAAATTGCATAGTAGGATGATAAGCACTCACTTTAGCACCTAGTTTCTTCTGAATACTGCATTTTGATGTGTGAATTTTAAAGTTAAATGTGAAACTTTTTGGGGGGACACAAGAATGAATAGAGTGCTGTGCTAGCTGCCAAATTTAGTTTAGAGCAAATGCTATGGAAGATGCAATGTAATACAAGTTGTATCCTGCTTTAGAATTATACAGTTGGAAATTTAAGTTGAGAGAAATTTAAAGGGTATGCCCTTGGCAGTGGAGGAAAACTTTCAACTGGGATTGTGAGGTTGAGAGTTGCAACCTACAGTGGAAGAAGCAGATTTTATGCCAGTGTTAGTGAAATTTGTGTAGCATTAGCTTCTTCTCTTCTAAACAGAGAGGTGAAGAAGGTGATAAAAAAATATGAATTCCTGCTAATAGCATAATATCCCTGCTCTTTCTCCAATACTATATCCTGAATTCTGAAAATTCTTTGTTTGTTTGTTTGGTATCAACTATATGTAAAAATTAGGTGATTTTGAGTCATACCATTTTAAGGTTTCCCTTTATAATATTTATATTTACATAAACTTGTGTATATTTAAGACTTTTCAATTTTTAGTTGAACTGTGACCTAGTTTTGTTTTTAGTAAAAGCAGTTGGGTACTGTATTTAGTGAAAAGATCCAATTTAAAAAAAAATCCCTGTAACCATGGCTACAGTCTCTCTGGTGTGATATTCTCCCCCTCCCCCACTGTGAATTATCTGGCATTGTGAACTTGCACACTTAAATATGTTTTTAGAAGTAGGGAAGCTTTCTCTGAGTGAAATGTATAATTTATTTGTACCTTTACAATCAGGTAGAAAAATCCCTTTTCCGGAAGGGAACTAACATATTCATGTTAGAAGGGAAAGGCATTGCAAATCCATAAGAGACAAAACAACTAAAAGGTTTACTTTTGTGTCTTACCTCATTTATGTGCCAGTCAATTAGCATTATTTTTAAATGTACTGAATCCACTCATTTTACAGAACAGCGATTAAAATATTCCAAAGCTACTGAAACACTACTGAAAGAGCCCATGCTCCTGAAAAAAAAAGAGGAGTATGGGTTTTTTCGAAAAAGGTTTTTTTTTTTTTTCAAAAGAACCGTGTCTAAACTGCGCTTTCACTTTCGAAAAACCTTTTTTTGAAAAAGCGCTCGGATGCAAATATGCAAATGAAGTGTGGGATATTTATATCCGCTCTTCATTTGCACTTTCAATTTGCCTCATTTACATTCCTCTTTCAATAGAGGAATGTAGTTTAGATGTGCCCTTAGAGCTTAACAGACTTTTCTGTTGTTATTGAAGACATTTGGCTCCTTTATTGAGACTGTCTTCATAGGTCTTGTTTTTAAGGCAGAAATGGAAAACATTTGTCAAATGCACTTAACCATATCTGCTAGGTCTAGTATTCCAGTGCGAACTAAAGGCATGCTTTCTGTATTGGAAAAATTGTAATATATAACTGTATGTTTGAAACTGTAGCTGTATGTTTGTTTTTTCCTCCTGCTTTTAGACCATAGTTGCTATTAATAAGGATCCAGAAGCTCCAATTTTCCAGGTTGCAGACTATGGATTGGTGGCAGATTTATTTAAGGTAACGCTAACCTTGAGGTGGGGGCGGGGGAACGGGGGTGGAGGAGGAATCACCTTCAAGTTTTTTAGAGCTGCCCTACCAAAAATCAGTTCTGCATAGTTTTTTTTTTTTTTTTTTTTTTTAATTTGCTCCTATATGAAATTTTGAAGTAAGTGTAAAGATGTATTTAAGGAAATATTAGGATAAGGAAATAGTGTTTTAAGCTGATATATAAGTATCTGGATAGGGGAAAAAATGTTGACTGAATAAGAAACTCACATGATCAATCCTCTGATGTCTTTAAAATTGTCTGCCATGAGGCTTTTTGTAGATGAAAACCATTCCTTAAAATGGTTGGTAAATTTTTTTCCTTTCATTTTCATGTAGACTAATTATAATTTAATATTGTACCTGTGCTTCTCTGTATTATAGTAGCACGTACTTCTCCTATTATCAGATTACTATAACAAACTCACAAATTATTTAGTACTGGGAAGAAGGATCAAAGAATTCGGAGCACAAGTGGTGTTCTCGTTCATCCACCCTGTTGAAGGGAAAGGACTGAGCAGGAATCGTCGAATTGAGGAAGTGAATGCATGGTTGCATAGGTAGTGTCGGAGAGAGGGCTTTGGTTTCTTTGACCATGGCACTCTGTTCCGGGCACAAGGATTGTTAGGCAGAGATGAGATCCACCTAACAAAGAGAAGAAGGAGCATCTTCGTGGGCAGGCTTGCAAGCCTAGTGAAGAGAGCTTTAAACTAGGTTTGTTGGGGGACGGTGACCAAAACCCTGAGGGGAGTGGGAAAGTTGGATACCAGGAAGAAATGCAAAGAGGAATGAGCAACAAGGGAGGACCCCTGATTCAAATGGAGAAGGTAGGGCGATTAACTGGTTATCTGAGGTGTTTGTACACCAATGCGAGAAGCCTGGGCAACAGACAGGAAGAATTGGAGGCCCTGGCCCTGTCCAAGAAATATGATTTAATTGGGATAACAGAGACCTGGTGGGATGACTCGCATGACGGGAGTGCTGTCATGTAAAGGTATAAACTGTTCAGGAAGAACAGGCAGGGGAGAAAAGGAGGAGGAGTTGCACTATATATAAGAAAGCACCATGATTGCTCAGAACTCCAGTATATAGAGGGAGAAAAGCCTGTTAAGAGTCCATGGATTAAGTTTAGAGGTGCAAACAACAGCAGTGATGTTGTGGTTGGTGTCTACTACAGGCCACCGAATCAGGTGGATGAGGTAGATGAGGCTTTTTTTGGACAACAGAGAGAAGCTGCCAGACTGCAGGCCCTGGTATTCGTGGAGGACTTTAATCACCCTGACATCTGTTGGGAGACCAATACGGCAGTACACAGGCAATCCAGGAAGTCTTTGGAGAATGTTGGGGATAACTTCTTGGTACAAATGCAGAAGGATCCGACCAGGGGCCGTGCGCAGCTTGACCTTCTGCTCACAAACAGGGAGGAACTAATAGGGGAAGTAGAGCAGTGATCATGAGAGAGAAGATTTCAAGACCCTGACCAAAGGAAGAAAAGAGAGTAGTAAAATAAACACCTTGAAGTTCAGAAAAACAGACTTTGACTCCGTCAGAGACCTGATGTTAGCATCCCCAGGGGATTCTCCCATGAAGGGGAAAGGAGTCCAGGAAAGCTGGCAATATTTTAAAGAAGCCTTATTGAAAGCACAGAAAGAAACCATCCCGATGCGTAGCAAGAGAAACAAACATGGTAGGAGACCGGATTAGCTTACAGGGGAAATCCTTGGTGAACTTAAGCACAAAAAGGGAGCTTACAAAAAGTGGAAATTTGGACAAATGACCAGGGAGGGGTATAAATGTATAGCTCGAGAATGCCGGGGGGCGGAGGTGAGGTTATCAGGAAGGCGAAAGCGCAATTGGAATTGCGACTGGCAAAAGATGTGAAGGATAACAAGAAAGGTTTCTATAGGCATGTTAGCAAGAAGGAGGTGATCAGAGAGGGTGTGGGCCCCCTCCTGGATTAAGGAGGTAACCTAGTGACAGATGATGTGGGGAAAAAGCTGAAGTACTCAATGCTTTCTTTTCCTCTGTCTTCACGGACAAGTTCCGCTCCCAGACTAATGCGTTAAGTGACGGACGGAAGATGGGATGAAGATGGACAGCCCTTGGTGGGTAAAGAATAGGTTAGGAACTATTTAGAAAAGCTAAACGTACACAAATCCATGGGTCTGGACTTAATGCATCCAAGGGTACTGAGGGAGTTGGCAAATGTCATTGAGGAGCCTTTGGCCATTATCTTTGAAAAGTTGTGGAGATCGGGAGTGATTCCGGATGATTGGAAAAAGGCAAATGTAGTGCCCATCTTCAAAAAAGGGAAGAAGGACGATCCAGGGAACTATAGGCCGGTCAGTCCCTGGGAAAATCATAGAAGGGATCCTTAAGGAATCCATTCTGAGGCACTTGGAAGAGGGGAAAGTGATCAAGAATAGTCAGCATGGATTCACAAAGGGCATGTCGTGTCTGACCAATTTGATTAGCTTCTATGATGAGGTAACTGGCTCTGTAGACATGGGAAAGTCAGTGGATGTAATATTTCGCCTGACTGCCCAACGCTCAGTCCTTGCCTGGAAGCCTCGCATATGCTCCAGATCAATTAATACCTTGACTTTAGCAAAGCTTTTGATACGGTCTCCCACAATATTCTTGCCAGCAAGTTAAGGGCATGTGGATTGGATAAATGGACGGTAAAATGGATAGAAAGCTGGCTAGAAGGTCGGGCCCAGCGAGTAGTGATCAATGGCTCAGGTTGATGGTTAGTTTCTAGCGGAGTGCCCCAAGGTTTGGTTCTAGGACTGGTTTTGTTCAGTATCTTCATTAATGACATGGATGAGGGGATGGATTGCACCCTCAGCAAGTTTGCAGATGACACTAAGCTAGGGGGAGAGGTAGATACACTTGAGGGCAGAGATAGGGTCCAGAGTGACTTAGACAAATTGGAGGATTGGGCCACAAGAAATCTGATGAGGTTCAACAAGGACAAGTGCAGAGTCCTGCACTTTGGACGGAAGAATCCCAAGCATTGTTACCAACCAGCTAAGTAGTAGTTCTGCAAAAAAGGACCTGGGGATTACAGTGGATGAGAAGGTGGACATGAGTCAACAGTGTGCTCTTGTAGCCAAGAAGGCTAATGGCATTAGGAGGAGAATTGCCAGAAGATCCAGAGAAGTAATTATTCCCCTTTATTCGGCTCTGGTGAGGCCACATCTGGGGTATTGTGTCCAGTTCTGGGCCCCCTCCCTCACTACAAAAAGGATGTGGATGCATTGGAGAGGGTCCAGTGGAGGGCAACGAAAATGATTAGGGGGCTGGAGCATATGACCTACGAGTAGAGGCTGAGGGAGTTGGGTCTGTTTAATCTGCAGAAGCAAAGAGTGAGGGGGGATTTGATAGCAGCATTTAACTTCCTGAAGGGAGCTTCCAAAGAGGTTGGAGAAAGGCTGTTCATAGTAGTGATGGATGGCAGAACCATGGTCTCAAGTTGTGGTGGGAGAGGTCCAGGTTAGATATTAGGAAAAAACTATTTCACTAGGAGGGTGGTGAAGCACTGGAATGGGTTACCTAGGGAAGTAGTGGAGTCTCCATCTCTAGAGATTTTTAAGTCTCGGCTTGACAAAGCCCTGGCTGGGTTTTTTTAAGTTAGGATTGGTCCTGCCTTGGGCAGGGGGCTGGACTTTGGTACCTTCTGAGGTTTCTTCCAGCTGTATGGTTCTATTATTCTGAAGTAAGTGGAACTGTGTATAACGAAGTCTGAACCAGGAAGATAGTTCAAAATCTATATTAAATCTGACTCATTCTGAAAGAGACTCTTAAAACGAGGGAGGAGACTTAGATACTATGGAACATATACAGAAACTGATGTTTAAAATGACAGTTTGTAGTGAGTTCTTCATAACTGTGTCCTGGAATCACTGTTTTACTTAAGCTTTTGACAGTTATACTATTTAAGAGGGAAAACTAGCTACTATATATACTAAGTACTGCCCTTTTAAAGATCTTTTATTTTGTAATATTAGGTCCATTATTCCTGCCACTTGTCACAATCAGACGTTTTTCATGCTCCTTATACTAGCCAGCATCTAGGTCAGGGGTGGGCAAAAGGACTGCTGCAGGTCAGATCTAGCCTGCCACGCCAGTGGATCAGGCCTGCTGCCACCTTGCTGCTCCCCTGCCCCCAGGCCAATTGAGACCTAGGGACGGGAGAGCGCACGAAGTCTTTCCCACTCCAAGGATGCACAGCTGCTAAAGAGAAATGCCGGCTGTTTTAAAACAGCCGACGTTTCTCTCTAGCTGCCATGTGCCCCTGGCAGGGCAGGCACATGGGGGAGAGAGAGAGACTTCACGCGCTCCCTGCCCCCAAGCCCTGATTGTTCTGGAGGCAGGAGGGGAGTGTGTTGAGGTCTCCTCCCACTGCTGTGCCTACAGGGTCTGTGGCAGGGGACCCTGAGAAGTCTCCTTGCCCTGCCCCTTCTGTCCAAGGCAGAAATTTGTGAAGTGGCCCCCTTTTAAAAATTATTGCCCATCCCGATCTAGGTTGTGCCTTTTTTAGGATGCACATTATTTATTCCTATATTTTGGACTGTGTCCTGAGCCAGTTACTTTGTCATCTCCTACTTCTCATCACATGTGATAAATAAAAGTATCATACATAAAGCAAAGTTTATTGGATAATCAAGAGAAAGTAAGTTTGGCGTAGAACATTTTTTAAGTCTACGTCTTGGCTTCTCTATGGAGCCCAAAATCTCTTAGAAGTTAAAAAAAAAAATCTGAATGTTTTGTGTCTTGGGCTACCATGTTCTTTCCTTACATTCAGTACCCCAAT